CCCCTCTTTCTCAAAAGGGAATTTTGAGATCATTTTCAGTTTTTCCTTTCCCATATGTGAAATTTCCTTTCTTCACAACACCTCATCATCTGCCCTTGCCTTCAAATGAGATTGTGTGTAAGCAGAGTTTGAGGTACCTGAGGTCTCCTCCGTTTTGTGTACCACCCGTCCCCTGCAAAGCCACAGTGGCCAGAGGTCTTCTCAAGTGTGCCACCTGCTTCCTGAACAGAGTATTCCCTGGACGCCTTCCTGGACCTGCTCCTGGCCCCTCCCCTCCTGTAGCTTTTGGCTCAAATGGCACCCCACCCCCTTTCCGGAGGGAGCCTCCTCTGCCTGCACACCCTCCCCGGGAGACCGCAGCTTCTCCTGCCCTCTGCTTCCTTGTCCTTTATGGCCTGTCTAACTCCGCACACTACCCCCTGCCCCCCCGCCCTCAGCCCCCTGGACTGTAAGCACCTGGAGGCCAGGGATCTTGGCCGCTTTATCAGCCTCCCCACGTCCAGCGCCTGGGCCTGGCAGGGAGCAGCTGTGCAAGTGTCTTTGAACAGTCGCGTCTGTAACCCCGGCCCCGGGCCTGACACACCCCCATGGCAGCATGGGGGTCAAAGATTGACTGTTGCGGACAATATTGTGCTTCTCAGGGCCTTCCGGATCGCATGAGCATGGTGTCCACGCTCGGTTGAATCAGGTGATGGCAGAAGGGGCTGCTGCTTCCTGGCCCTGCTGTTCAAGGGCATCTGGTGGACACGGTGGCCCTGGTCCTGGGCTACTTGAATCTGTGATGTCGTCACTTGTTTCCTGTCATGGCTTCTCCACGTGCCTGCCTTTCTGTGCTGCCTCTGCTCCCCTCTGCTCTGGCCCTCATGACAGAAGAGTGCCTGTTTTCTGGGCAGCACAGACTTACATCCCTCTTCAGGCTGGGGAGAAGCTCATGTTTTCCCTAGTTCTTCACTCTTTCTGGGCTGCTCTGGGCTATGTGCATGGGGATCTGGGAACCCTCTGGGCATATGAGGTGACAGGGCCGCTTGCTCAGTGATGGGCGGCTGCCTCCACCCTGCCCACAAGCCCTGGGGCACTTTCCCCAACTGTGAGGCACTGGCCCTCCTCGTGTTCTCCTAGCCGCCGCTCCTAGTGGATTGGCCTCTCTGTTGTTGTTTGTCTGCGTGATGGTAGCGGAGCAGCCCTTTGTGCCAGGCTGCATTGGGCCTCTGGGTCGCAGTAGCATGTGGCAGCAGGTGTCTGCATTTCCATCCTTTTTAAGGCTGAGTCCTGTTCCATGGGGTGGCTGGACCACATTGTGTTTGTCCATCCCTCTGTGCATGGACGCTTGGGTTGCTTCCACCTTTTGGCCCTGGACTACTTTTTAATGGTCGTTTCTCGGCTTGGGGTCTGCAGGGTCACACAGGTAGTGGACATGACAAGTAAGCCCGTATTTCTCAAGTGTTTGTTTTCCACCTGGAGTCCAGGGGAGATGACCGATCTTCCTGAGCCAGAGGTTGGAGGCATTTCCCAGTCACTGGCCCCCACTGGACATGGGAGCCCATGGAAGGTTTGAGCTTTCTTTGGTGACCATGGAGGGGGTGGACTCAGTCCAACTTTGGCCCTGGCTCAGCCCCAGGCCTTGACCCTTGTGGTACTTTGACCCCCACGCAGCAAGCCCCTGGCTTGAGGGACCACAGCATCCAACCAGGGGTGCCTTGATTTACTTTTTACTTCCCGTGTCATCAGGGGTCCCCAGGGGCTCCCTCGGGCTCGCTGTGTCACCAGGAGGACTTGCAGAGTTGAGAAAAGCTGTTCTCATGGTTCCGGGTGTTAGGGTCAGAGACTGGGGAGGACACAGGGTGAGACCAGCCAAGATGAAAGGGGCAGAAGGCAGGTCCGGGAGACGCCAGGCGAGAGCTCCCGGGCCTCCCGCCAGCCAAGTCGTGGAGCAGTGCCCTTTCTCCCAGCAGTGACAGGTGACAACATGCGCGGACTGCTGTCACCAGGGACGCTCCCTGAGCGCTGCTGTCCAGGGATTTGATGGGGATCGGTCCTGGAGGCCCAGAGCACCTGCCCAGCTGACCTGAGTTCCTGGGTCCCCGCACCCTGGAGGTCAAGCTGAGACATGCGGCCTCAGGCCCCACCAGGAATCACGCTGTTGGCAGAGACTGCCTGGCAGGGCCCTTGGCCCCTGGCAAACCAAGACCCTTTCATCAGGCAGAACATGCCAGGGCCTAGAGGTTCCCTCCCAGGAGCCAGGCCAGGTCCAGACCTTCCTTAGAAATGTGCAGGGTTAGCCCTCTTGGTTTGGGCCCCTGGGGACTCACCTTACAATTTTCTAAGCTCCCTTGCAGAGTCAAGAGGAAGTCTGGTCCACGACAGAGAGCAGGGCCATGTTTCCCAGGGGGTGGCCAAGGGTGCCCAAGGGTGGGGTGGGGTCCAGGTGACCTATCTTGCTTGTTTATGGAAATAGACTCCTGCTCCCTCCTCTCCTATTGCCCCCTCCACCCGAGACCCTGGACCTGAGAGCCCTGGTAAGAGGCAGGAACCTGTGCTCTGGGTCCAGCTCTGTCACCGACTTCCTGTGTCACCTGGGACAAGTCCCCTTTCTTATCTGAGTTGGACAATCACCAAGGCCTCTTCCATCTGGAGTGTTCTCTGCTCTGGGACCAGTCCTGGCAGGCTGTGACTGAACTGGCTTTCCAGAGAGCCACCATCATTTCCGATGGCCAGGTCCCCATGCCATCCCCCCGTGCCACGTGATTGTGCACTTAGTGATGGGTGCCTTGTTTAGTACAGAGGGAGTCTAATTGGAACCTGTTTTCCTTCTCCTTTCTAGGTGTTTAGTGAAGACCTTACCAAGCCAATCATTGATAACATTGTGTCTGATCTCATTCAGATTTATACCATGGACACAGAGATCCCCTAAGGCCCTGGTCCAGGCCTGCCTAAAGAGAAGCCCGGGGCGCCCGGCTGCCTGGGGACGGCACCACCACAGGGCCGTGAAGGCCGGCCCCCAGAGGACCAGCTGGGAGGGCTGGTTGTGTGCTGCTGGAGACGGGCTGGTGAAGGCGATGGTGTACTGCCAACTTGGTTCTCATGCTTTGAGTGTCCCCGGCAGCCGCGGTCCAGATGGTGATGGAAGTGGCGCCTCCAGCTGGCAGGCCGGGAGCGCACCACGTGGGGCAGCCTGTGGAGTCAGCGGAGCGTCTGCTTTTGTCCTTTGGGAGGACACCAACTGCTGTCCAGGCGTGACGTCATAGGAAGGAAAATCAAAGAAAGGATGGGACTGCACCCCTGGGGATTTTTTAAAAGCCAGATTTATAGCAAGTATGAATGTGCCACATAGATGGAATTTTATTTTTGTGTAATAAAAGATGATGCAAATCAGCAGAGATACTCTGTGTTTGCTTTGTAGCCCGTGCACCCTGGGGGCTTTGTGGGTGCTGTACAGACTCGGTTTCCCTTAAAGTGCTGTGCAGGTGGAACTGCCCTTTGTGTGCCTCGTGTTCTTGGGGCAGGCCCTCCATCAGTCCCTGAAGGCATGATGGCACAGTGTGGGATGTCCCCTGTAGGAGCCCACGTGTCCTTCGTGCTCCTCCACTGGGGCACTTGCATGGCTTGGCAGTCATTCTGCTTGGTGAGTGAGCATGCGTTTTGGAAAGAGGGGTTAAGGAGTATCATTTGAATTAAAAAAATCCTGTTTCTTATTTCTTGGCAGCTTCCCTGGAAAATGTTTCCCCGGGCACTGCCAAGTCTACAAGGGTGACATGCAGAGCGGAGGAATAGCAATATGAGGCAACGAGATGCAGGGACTCTTGGCACTGTTGCCGTGGTAGTCATTGGCAAATCTTGGGCCAGAGCTGCCCTCGTGGCTCTGCTGGCAGAGCAGAGGGGCTGGGCCATGGATGTCCCCATGCACAGGTGTTCAAAGATGCCTAGTGAGTGAAGGAAGGGATGGGAGCAAGTGATTAAGTTGAAAATCTTGGGTTTTCTTTCCATGGCTTTGGGTTAAAGAGGAAATCTGTGGTTGGAACATTTGAGCACTGCTCGGGGGAATATAAAGTGGTGCCGCTGCTTTGGAAAACTGTCTGGCGGTTACTCAAAAGGTTAAACAGCAGGTTATCATAGGATGCAGCCCTTCCACTTCTGGGTATCTGCCCCAAAGAAGTGAAAGCAGGGACTCGAAAAGATGTTTGTACACTCTTGTTCACAGCTGCATGATTCACAGTAGCCAAAAGGTGGAAACCACCCCCAGATGTTCGTTGCTGGATGAACAGAGAAACAAGCTGTGCTCCAACCATACAGTGAGCTGTTATTTAGAATGAAAAAGGAAGGACATGCTGACACCTGCTATGACATGGATGGACCCTGAAGACATTATGCCCAGTGAAATCATCCAGTCATAAAAGGACAGACACATAGTTTATGATTCCACTTGTATGAGATGTCTAGAGCAGCCGGATTCCTAGAGACAGAGTAGGAGGGTGGGGCCAGGGGCTGGAGGAGTCAGTGTTTTGTGGAGACAGAGATTCAGTTTGGGAGGATCGAAAAAGTTCTGGAGGTGGATTGCAGGGATGGTTGCACAACAATGTGAATGTGCTTAGTGCCACTGAGCTGTGCACTTAAAAATGGTAAAAATGGCAACTTTTATACTGTGTGTATTTTATCACAATGAAAAAAGAGGGAGTCTGCATGTGTGCCAGGGTTCAGGCATTTGGGTGCCCCCCACCCTGAGGATGCCAGCTTGGAGACTCAGGCCAGGCCCTTCTGGGTCAGGACAATGGAGGACCACCATGCAAACCTCTGCTAGGAGCGCCACTGACCCCAGGGTGGGCAAGCCCTTTCCTCCTTTCTTTCGGATCAGAAAGGTGGCCACATGCCCAGGGAACCCCGCCTCCCCCAGGGCTCACCCCAGCTTGGTAAAGGGGAGGAAAACACCTCTCCTGGGTTCCATACAAGACTTTACCCAGTAAGAAATCATACACGTTACCCAGACTGGGATTGTAGGAGCCTTTCATTTTTTTTAATACACAGAAATTTTGGTCTATTCTTTAAATTAGGAAATTTAACTACAGACTTTAAATTATTATGCATCTGTGGTCTTCCTCATTAAGATGTTTTTGTTCATCTTCATAACAGGCAGATAAAGATGTAAAACTGAGTTAATAACTGAAACACAGTTGACCAAGCCATTCCATACAATATAATGCTTTATAGTGAGGGGCTTCCTGATGAGACAGGACCCTTGGCCTGAAACCTGTACAGAAACCAGAGCAGCAATCTGAGCCCCACACCCCGTGGAAAGGCAGCCTGGGGACTGAACAGTCGACGCGTACGTTAGGCAACTTTGTACAGCAGCAGTGAGGGTTTGACTACACGTCGACCATTTGTTCTAGCAATGTGTCTACAATGGAGAATGAAGAGAAGTCCATGAGAGTAGCTGATTTGCTTCAATTTAAACATTTCCAACTTTACTTCTTGTTTCCGAACACACAGACCCTCAACAAATTGAGTTGCCCTGTTTGCTGTTGTTTAAACAAGGACAGTAGGGAACAATTTACAAATGGGTAACATTCTAAATGTGCCCTTTGGAAAAAAGGGATGGCTTTAAGTTACCTGTAGCTGGCATTTTAAGTGGGATTTGCTTTTCTCACCGAAATTCCTTTGCCCAAGATTGGACAACACCTGCTCAGGGGTGACATGGCCTTATTGTTAACAGTGGGGACAGAGTGCACTTTGGACGGTGGTCCGGATGCTCACAGATGCAGGTGGAGTTGAGACAAGCTGCCGCCAGTGGGGATGTGATGGGTGAACCAGCCTGGCCACCAGTCCAGCTGCTGCTCAGCTGCTGAGTGTGCCCCTCCACATCTGCCCTTCTGTTCTGACCCTTGGTCCCTCAGCTCCCAGCTGTCCCCCAGGGGCTCAGCCCCAGGCCCAAGTGACAGGTTGCACCTCAAACTCCTCCCTGCAAAAAGTGAGGCAGGTGAATTCAGAAGGTAAACGAACCGTTGCTTTTTCTGCATTTTCCTTCCTGGTTATCACGCATTCAGGGAAAACTGAGGCTTGGCACGCTGGGTGCCCACACTCCAAGGAGAGGCTCCCGAGGGAACCATCTGGGGAGCCCAGGCCCAGCTCTCCCCACCTGCAGACTGGGTGCTCAGCCGGCTGACCTCCTCAGCCTTCCACCCCAAGAGGTAGAGCCACAGGTGCAAGGAGGGCCATGGAGATGGGGACTGTCGCTCCCAGGAGCTTTGCTTTTGCTTCTGCTTCCCGGAGGGTGCCTGAGGTGGCTGAAGACACACATCCATGCCCTCCCTCATGGTCAGAGTTGGCCTTGAATGAGAAGACCAGGATCAGGAGAGTGCTTTGGTCGGTGGTGACTGAGAACCTTTCCCAGGTGCTTTGCAGTTCCCTCAGCAAGAACTTCTGGGCTTTTGCTAAAGCAGAGTGGGAATCCAGGTGGAGGCGCTGAGGGCACTGGGGTCTGCGCTGTGGTCTTGTCAGCTCCTCTTAGGTTTCGATGGTTGTTCTCCCTCTGCTTTCTTTCGGACTCTTGGCACACTTCCCCGTCCCCACCTGGCAGACCTGGCTCTCCCGGGGCTGCTTGGGGGTTCTGGATTGTTCCAGGATGTCAGCTACCACTGGGGGCGGGGTCTTATGCTCTTGCAATTGAGGTGCAGACAGAGAAAGCCCACCAGCCAGAATTCAGGACTTGGAATTGGAGTTGGACCCAAAGGAAACTGAAAGCAAACCTCCCCCTTCCGCCTGCTGGAGGAGGTCGTTCTCATCAATACTTTGGTATTTTCCTTTTAAATAAAAAATTCCATCGACAGGTTTTTTTTTTCTTCTTCTATAGGCAGGGGTCTCAAAGTGCAAATGTTCCAAATGTTCTGATTGTATTACAACTGCTCTGGCCTTGCGCTCCCCCCCCCCCAAAAACCCTGCCACAATAAATAATGAAATTTCAAAATGAAAACACCTGATAAGAAAAATGGAGATATCATGCTGATAAATAGTTCCTTATTCTTTAAAGATGCATCTGGTCCTATATGCACGTATATGTCTAGACGCACACACACGTGTCTATGCACACACGCACACGCAGACTGGCAGCACGCGTCCTGGGGCTGGGGTGCTGGGCGACGCCGTTGTGTGTTTGCAGGCGGCTCCCACGGGGGGCTGTCTGGGCAGAGAATACTCCTGGCCCTGCAGAGCGGGGCTGCTCGCCTTTTCTCTTTTTGTGTGAATCTGCTGCTCCAATGGCTCCGCAGAGGGTGCAACGAACCTCCTCCCAACAAATCAAAACCAGCCCCTGCCTCATTGCACAGCCCAAACGGTGAACATCTGGTGCAATTACAGTGTTCATTAAAAAAAAAAAGACTTCGATAGAAAAAGTGGGGGTAACACCACTCTTCTTGCTCTCTGGTCTCTCCCTCCACCTCCTCCTCCTCCATCCTGGGTAAGAAGCCTAGAAAGGATCGGCTTCTCGCAAGCGCCATTGAGCAAGGTCTCCAGCTGCCTGGCGGGCGCTCCTCGCAGGCTGGTGCCGCCGGCCGAGCGCGCGCGCGTGTGTGGGTGTGCGCGCGCCGAGGGCAGTTCTGCTCAGAGGGACGTCTCCACGCTGTGCAGCGGGCTCCCGGGGCCGGAGGAGAACACTGACGAGGTAGCTGACTTGGTGGCGCGCGCGGTCAGGTAGATGCCGCTGTCTATGGCGTTGTTGTTCTGGTTGGGGGAGGGGGCGGGGGGGCCCGCAGGCGCTCCTCGTTCTCGTCCACGTCCGTGTCATCGATGAGGGGGATGTTGTGGGTGTAGTCATTGATCAGAAACTCGGGCGTCGCCATGAAGTTATGGATGGAGGTCTTGGATTCCGGTTTTTCCAGGCCTTCATAGAGCGAGCTACGGAATGCTTTCACCACCCGGATCTGGAGGGGTAGGGGAGGGGTGGCCCAAGGTGGGAGCAGGGAGGGAGGGAGGAAGGAGACAGTCAGTGGCTGGCTGGTGCTGGTGGCTTCCACCCACATCCGTGGCAGGGGGTCACTGCATGACAAGTGTTCATGAACAACGGGGGCCCGCTGCCTGGCCGTGGGCAGGGTTTCACATTTGGGTTTCACCCCCTGTCCCTGCACTGGAGGGGGCTGTTGCTGGGGCTTCTCCTGGGCTCTCAGCCAGATCTGAATTCCAACGTGGGAGCACAGAAAGAAGACCTGGAAAAGGGAGGGTGCGGCCAGTGGGCTCTCTACCTTCCCTTCTTCAGACTTTCTGGCAAGAGAAAGCCCCCAGCCTAAGGGCACATTGCAGGCCCTTCCCTAGTGGGTCTCTCTCCCTGGCTTCTTGGCGTCCTCTTCTCGGCCCCCCTGACTCCCACGGCTGTAGCCAGTTGCGGCCATGCCCAGGCCTACCCGGCCATCAGTCTCCCTGCAGCTAAGTCCAGTGGCCCTTCTGTGTATCCATCTTATCTGATCCCTCAGGGGCCAACTGCCCCTCTTTCCAGAAACTTGTCCCGGCTTCCCTGACTTTGCCCCTGTGTGGCCCTCCTCCTGCCTCACCAATTTCTCTGTCTGTTTCCTCCACTGCTCCTTCCTCTGTCCCAGGGTCTCCAGAACCCTGGCCTGGCCCTGATCCTCCTCCTCTCTGTCCACACCCCCAGCCCCACCTCCTAGCCCTGGTCACGGCTCTGGGGCTCATCTGGCTATAACCAGGGACTGCAGCCCAGGCCCCTCTTCAGAGCTCCAGGCCCAAGGCCCTGCCAGTCCCCCATCCAGAGGCATCCAAGATGGACAATGGTCCCACTTTTGATCTGCACCCACCGAGTTTGTCCTGTTCAGCCCCACCCCCTGCCCGCTGCTAGTGCATTGGATTGGGTCCTCATTTCCCTTCACAGACCCTTCCATCCTGCATCTCCTGCCACCAGAGGCCCTTCACAATCTACTGCTACCTGACACTGATCCTCCTCTTCACTCTCCAAGCCAGACAGCTTCTTTCAGTCCCCAGAATCTGCCATATTGTCCCTCCACTCAGGCCTTCTACACCTTCCCTGGCCACCCCCCTGGCATCTGCAGACCTCAGATCAGCGTAACTCCCTGCAAGGAAGAGCTTCTCACAATGCCCTGCTCTCTGGCCATGGCAGCCCACGGCCCCAGCAGAGTTCAGGTGCCCCAAGTCCTGAGTCCCACAGGACCCTGCTCTGTCTCTGTTGGCTGCTCCCCCTTTGCCTTACACATGCACTTGAATCTCATGAGCTTTACCAGCCACAGAGCTGCTGCTCCTCTCTGCTCCTTCCCTGGCTCCCACAGCGTGGGCTCCCTCTTGCTTCCAGAAGTCAGAGTCGATGCAAAGCCTTCTGCCTTTGCCTTCCACTAGGCAGCTGGCCTTGGGCTGAATGGGGAAGCCAGACTGTCCCGAAGTGAGTGAGTGGACACAACCTGACTTCTGAAATCATTTCCAGGTCCAAGGTCCTAGGGTTTGGTTTCCTCGCTTTAGACAAGGTGTTGGCCAACTGTGGCCCATGAGCTAACTCTGGCCCTCAACCTGGTTTTGGAAATCCAGTCTGACTGGGCACACAGCCACGCCCATTCCTTTATGCATTGTCTGCGGCTATCTTTGAGATCCAAGGACAGAGGTGTGTACTTTAGACAGAGACTTGGCCCACAAAACTAGAAACAGTCATTCTCTGGCCCTTGATGGGAGAAGTTGGCTGCCCCTGGTTTAGCCCATGAATTGCACTGTTGACAGTGAGTCTCTTTCAACCCTCTGCCATCCGGACCCCAGACCCAGCATTTCTCAGCCAAGCATAGTGCTCCTACATCACTTTAAACGAGGAAAGCCTCACAGTCAAGTGCAAAAAAGTGAGCCGAAGAGCTTCATACATTTAGAATTTTCTAATTCCACATCTTAAATCCACTTAGCATTTTCTCTGAATTTGGTGAAGCCACACCTTCCCGATGGCAGATGGCCACTATCTGCTCTCAATCCCCAGACTGGCTTCTGCGCTCAGGGTAACACAGGAACTGAGAATCACTTGACATTTGTTAATGAAAAAAAACCCAGTTCACTTTTTGTAGCCGGTGCAGCTGTGGCCTCATTATTTGTGCCTTTTCTGATGCCAGAAATGTTGGGGAGCCCCTGGCACACGGCTGCTCTTGATCCTTTGTGGTCAGTTTGCCGGCCACGATCTGGTCCCCCGGCTCCATCCTTTCCGCTCTCCCTGCCCCCGGCTGAACTCTGAGCTCTTCCCTCCCTAGCCTCTGTTCCTTCAGGACAGTCCTCCTGGGTATAATCAAAGTCTCACTTTGACGTCTGTCACTAGCCTCCAGGCAAGGGGTGGTGTCTGCCTTGTTTGCTGCCTATTGCCAAAGCCGGAAGGTGCCAGGGCCATGGGCTCAAACATGCTGCTGCTGACGCAAGTCATCCCGAGCCTCTTCCAGCTGATGGTGAGCCAGTTTCCCTCCAGGTTCCACTTCCCTGCATTCCAGTCTTGGGCTCCTAACAAATGACTCGGATTGGTTTTAGGCCGCCCCACGCTGCTGGGCACAGTCAATTCTCAGGACACGGGTTTGGTGAGAACTGGCCACTGCTTCTAAGAGAGGGTTGCCCTGAGGGCCTGAGCTCGCACACTGGGGCCGAGTATGTCCCCACGGCAGAGTTTAGTGTGTCCCAGCAAAAGTGCAGTCATGGCCAAGCGGACCCAGTGTCCTTTCCCAGCGCGTGGCCCTGACTGCCTCCTGGAACTCCTATCCTGTCCTGGGGCTATTCCCAGGACTATGGCAGGGTCCTCAGATTACCTCTCCATCTCTGGAACTCCCCAACGGACCTCACTGCCATCAACGCTGTCAGTGCCACCCATCGCCCACCTTGATGTCGTGAACACCGTCTGCAACACCTCCACCTGTGTCCGCGGCAAGGGCCCACACTTCCCAGCAGCTGCAGCTCCTTCATCTCCCCACGGTGCCTAACAGGACTCTCGAATTGAAGGGGGTCGAGGAGGACCCTCAGTCTGGGCTGCTCCAACCCTGACTCTCGCCTAGTCTTCCCATCCCAGTGTGGGGCTCCAGCTGAGCCTTGGAGGCACCCAGACCCCCGACCCCAGGCCCATACCTCTTCACTGAGGCACCTTCCCCACCTCCGCTGTGGTATCGTGTCTGCCAGGGACCCACAGCCAGCTCTGTCTTTCCCCAGCTGCCGCCTATGTGGCTGATGTCCCTTGGGTCTCTGGCCCCATCCCTTCTCTCTGACCACTGAGTCAAGCTGTTCCCTCCACTGTCTACCACGTGGGGACTCCAAATGTTTCAGCATGTGATCAAATTCCTCTGGGTCCTGACTGTGGGAACTCTTTGCATGGTACCCCCCAAAGTCCATGATACTGTAAGATCATTTAAAAGTAAAAGACACAAAAAGCACTGTCCAGTAAAGATGACACTGTCCTAGGGCTATGGCCGAGGTGTCTGGGAAGGCCAAGGAGTGGGTCTGGCTGGGCTGGAGGAGGGGGGAGGGCTTCACTGTGCCTTCCCATCTCATCCCAAGCTAGGCCCGACATGCCCCCCACCTCCTGGCATCTGCGATGCAGTCCTTCTTCCCCTTTCACCGCCTGGGTGCATCGCCCCACCAGCTCCCTTGCCCCTGCCTAGGTTATTCATTTGTCCCATCTTAAAAGAGACCCTCTCTTGGTGCTGTGGTCCCTCCAGCTGCTGCTGATAGCCTGGAGAGGGTTGTCAGTACTCAGGGCCCCCACATCCTTTCACTCTGTTCTCTTCTGCCCCTACTCCCCCGGGACCTCTCCACCTGGGCGCTCGGTGCTCTGTGCACCACACCTCTGCCTCTGGGTCCTCCTCCTGTTGCTCCCCGTTTCTTCCTGGCCAAGAGCCCCTGGGCTTGTCTGGACCTTTTCTCTTATCCATCCACATCCATGCATTTCCTGGATCCTTCTGTCCATCTGTCTGCTGATGAGTCACCTACTCTCTCTCCAGACTCCAGGCTCTGCTTCTTCAAATTTACCTCCACCCTTTGTCTCCCCATGGCCACTCTTGACCTGTGCAGTCTATTCTCACAGCCTGAGCAATCTTTTCAGTCAGAGCATGTCATACCTTCCACTGGTCCAAACCCTTCAATAGCTGTGTCTCCCTCAGAGGAAAACCTGAAGTCCTCCAGGGCCAGCTGTGGGTTGTGCTCTTCCTCTTTCTCCTTTACTCTCTCCCTTTTCCTCAAGTACGCCAGGCACACTCCTGCCTCAGGATCTTTGCACTGGCTGTTTCGTCTGCTGTGGAAGCTCATCCCCAGTAAGCCTCAGGGTTTCCCCTCACCTCTTGCCGTTTACAGTCACCATCCATCCAGATCCCTCAGCACCCCTGCACCTCTTCTGCCTCCTTTCCTCCCCAGCACGGTTCACCTCCAAACAACTAGCTTAAGTCTCCCCCAGGGCCATCGCATCTGCCAATCCCCTGCCCAGACTGCTCTTCCATCTGAAGCTGGCCTTTTCTTCTTATTTGGAACTCAGCTCACACATCCACCCTCCAAGAGGCTGTCCTGGACACCTTGCATCCAAAATAGTGCCATTCATTTTTCTCTTTCCTTCTCCTCTGAGGCTTACTTGTCTGTTGGTTGTCCGCTGCCCAGCCCTGTCCCTGCACGTGAGCCCTGGCCTGCCTTCACCTCAGCTCCCTTGGTGAGGATGGGGCAGGTGATGCTCCAGCCCCAGGGGCCCTCCCAGCCCCATGGAGCCAAAGCAGAACGGATGCTCGAGCCAGACTCTGCCGGGTAACCGTGCTACGGATGCATGGCTAGGGTGAGAGCAGAGGGAGTGAAGGTCACGGCTGAAAGTGGATGTCCCCTGCTTTTGTCGTGAGCTTTAATAGCTTGAGTTTGCAACGTAGGTGATGGTGGAGGTGGAGAAGGGAGGGGAAAGCCAGGAGGAGAGCAGAGGGCTGTG